GAGATAGTACTACGTCTTGTAGTAGTAGGGGGTTTCGTTTCCACGTCCAGGGTCATGTGATGTTCGAAATGTACAGTGTTAGGTTGATGTCGGTATGATCCGACCACAAGATCGTTCCTATGCTTGTGGATTTTGTCTGGGATAGGGCATTTGGGGTGACCAGGAAATGGTCAATTCGTGAGTACGAGTTGTGGGGGTGGGAGTAAAAGGTGAAGTCTTTGGTGGAGGGGTGTTGGGCTCGCCATATGTCTATTAAAGGACCATTATAGGCACCTTCAGCTTAATGAAGTGGTCTGGGTGCCAGGTCCAGCTAGGTTTAACCCTTTTTTTCTATAAACATTTATATTAGGGTTAATCCAGCCTCTAGCCTCTAGTCTCATTGACAGCCGCTAGAGGCGCTTCCGCGCTTCTCACTGTGAAAATCACAGTGAGAAGACGCCAGTGTCCATAGGAAAGCATTGTGAATGTTTTCCTATGGAACTGGCTAAATGAGCGCACGGCTCTTGCCGCGCATGCGCATTCAGCCGAAGAGGAGGAGAGGAGGAGGAGAGCTCACCGCCCGGCGCTGGAGAAAGAGGTAAGTTTAACCCCTACCTCCCCCTAGAGCCTGGCGGGAGGGGGACCCTGAGGGTCGGGGCACCCTGAGGGCAGTATTGTGCCAGGAAAACAAGTATGTTTTCCTGGCACTATAGTGGTCCTTTAAGTTTCGAGAGGAGAGGAACTGCTGGAACAGTGTGTAATTTCTGGTCGGCCGAGCTGGGTCTTGTACGGTGCGATCTGTTAAGGTGTGAGGAGTGTACCGCGTTGCAGTCCCCACATATGATTAGGTGAGTGTTGATTAGTGTGGCTATGTGTGCAGAGAATTTATGCCAAAAGTCTGGGTCTGGCTGGGTTGGTACGTAGATGGAGCAAAAGGAATAGTTATTGGTGCCTATTCTCCCAGTGATTGTGAGGAATCGGCCTGAGGGGTCAGGGGTCGTAGTTATGTCTGTCAGAGGACATGTGGTTCGTAGAATAATGGCTACACCTTTAGATTTGGAGTCTGGGGAGTTGGCAAGGTAGCTAGTTTTGTAGTGCCGGTTCATGAGAGGGAAGTGTTTGTGTGTGGTGAAGTGGGCCTCCTGGACCATAAGGATGTCTGTATGTTGTCTATGGGCCCACCTGAGCAGGGCATGTCTTTTCTTGGGTGTATTGAGGCCTTTTGCATTGATGGAGATGCATTTGAGGTGGAGTGGCATGATGTTGGTTGGTGTGGCTGGGTCTCCTTTGGGAGTAGTGGGTGGGTGGGGTTGGGGGAGAGTGAATGTGGAGGGTCGCGGGGCCCTGCTTCCCGGGCCAGCAGGGTCTGTGTTTGTGTGAGTAGTTGCTGGACTTACGGTTTAGGCCAGCAGGAAGTGGGGGGTGTCGTCCAACGGCTCTGTGGGAGGCGCGGGTGGGGTTGTCGTTGGTGGGTTTGGCTGTGGGGTGATGGGAGTAGATATTGTGATTATGAGTATTTCCCTAGCGAGCATTGGTGTGGCGAAGTAAGACCTCGATAGTGTTTTGTGTGGCGGCAAGTCCCCAAGTTCGTAAAAGCTTGGTTGCTTTTGTCCATTAGGTGTTTTACAGTGTCCTGGTGCCCTAGAGGGCCAAGTTTTGTTATGCCTCGTGTGTTTGGTTGGCTGTGTGTGTTTAGGGGGGTTTGGAGGGGTGATGCTGTGTTTTCTGCTTGCGCTCTTTGTGGGACTGTGCTTGTTAGCAGGTGTTGGTGTGTGTTTGGCCACCCTACCCGGTTGAGATGTGGGTGGTGGGCGTATTAGTTTTGTGCCTTGTGGTGCCAGCGGTGTGTGGTGCGCCTGTGGGTGGTGTGGGTCCTAAGGTGCCCAGCGTGTGTGAGTGTTAACATGATTAAAGATTGCTTATCTCATGCTGTTGTCCTCGGGGTCTCTGTGCGGCATATTGTAGTATCTTGCGGCTTTAGGGGTTCCGGGTTGCAATCGCCTTGGTGCCTTGGGAACAGCTGAAGGCTGGAGGCTCTCAGTGTGGCCGGCGGGGTGGGTGGGTAGGGGCCATGCAGCAAGTTCTGATTTCTGGTTTTATTGTTGGTGTTGCTCTCGTCTGGAGGGTCTGCATCTCCTCTGTGGGGTTTGCAGGTGGCCCCTCTCCGCTGGTTGTTGTTTTTGCTGTCGGTGTGAATCCGGTTCGATGCGGGGTAGGCCCAGCTGGACTGCAAAGTCTTTTGCGTCAGCTTTGTCGTGTAAGGTGTAGGTTCTGTCATCTTTGCAGACCATTTGTTTGAAGGGGTGCCCCCAGGCATAACTTATTCTTTGTTGCGCTAGTGCTTGGGTCAGGGGCTTGAGGGCTTTCTGTTTAAGCAGGGTGCTGGGTCCAGGTCTTAGGAATAGTTGTACCTGGTGGCCTTCTTTCATTAGTGCCTCTTTCACATGGAAATAGTGAAGACAGACTATTACGTCTCTGGGCTGGGTGTTCGTGGA